CAACAACAACAAAAACAAAACTAAACTAAAATTATCTCCAACTAAGAAGCCCATGAATGCAGCCCTTCTTCCTTTCCTGCCCTTAGAATGAAGCCCTAGCAAGAGGAGTGTGGATGTCCTGTCTCCACAGCCTCAGTTCTTACTTATTCCTTGGTAGGACTCGCATTCCCAGCTGTACCACTACTATAACATTGTGGCTAATTTCTGGGTTACTTCAGTTGGCACTGTTTACTTCCTGCCTAACTTCCCTGTGGTGTGTGACAGTGCTCTAAGCTTTCCTTTAGCCCACCAGTTCACAACTTTCCTAACGCTGTGACCCTTTAATACAGTTCCTCATGTTATGGTGACCCCCAAACACCAAGTTATTTTGTTGCTATTCATAACTGTAATTTGCTGCTGTTATGAACCTGCTGCTGTGCAGGATATTCATATGCAACCCCAGAGGGGTTATGACCATTGCTTTAGTGCCTTTGAAACAATATCCTCTCTGTGTGCTCCAGGCATTCAGGAGATCTCTCCCTGGTATTTCTACTAGTTTCTCTCCTAACTTATCTCCTATTCCCACGCTGCCCCACAGGGGTCAAACACCAATATGCTGTGGACTCAAGTCATTTCCTCTCCTCTTTCGCTCTCTCTGCCTCAGTTAGCTCAACCGTGTCCCTGACTGTAACAATCACCTATAGAGAGTGACCAGCAAACATTTCTCACATTAAAATCACCCTTACATTGTAGGTCTTTATCTAGCTATTCACTAAACATATTCTCTACATATGTCTTACAATCATTTCAAGACTAAATTGTCAGAAATTATTAATTTGACAGAGGCATAGTCTCCTTCTCCTCTATTCTATTGTTAAAGACAATATTCTGCAAGTAGGATTAAGGATTCCTCCAATCTGAGCTGCCAACTTGAGACACTACTGAGCTAGAAAGTACAAACATTAAAAAGGAAGCGAGCCTTGGTACCATCATTTAAGGAAACTGCCCCATGGGGAAACAAGTTAACTAATAAAGCTGTGTGCCTTGGTACCCAGTTATAATCAAAAGCTTAGCCAGTTTTGTAAGCCGCTAATGTGCCAGTGTGGGATGAAGCCAAACCTGGGAATTCTTGGATAACAAACTGTGCCTCACTTTTACTGACGCACATAGCAGGCAATCAGTAACCAATAAATGCTACTAACGAGTAAAAATAAACTTACTTCTACAAGATACTGAGGCATGTGCTTTTCTGTGTTTAAGTTTTAATAAGAGAACTGAACTCAGTGAAAAAATACTGATATATTACATCTTCAGTCTCAATAAAATATATATATACATAGAGTTAAGAAATGGCCTAGATTATCAGGTTGGAAAATTCTGAGTGACTAAATGCTGCAAAAGAATTTAGCAATTCCTCTACACTGTTCCTTCAATATTTACAGGTAACCAGATAATCTCCCAAATGAGATTTATTGACAAATTTAATTAAAATGCTCTTCAAATGCTATTCATCTTTCATCTTTGATCATTAGAGGCACCGAAGTTAGAACAAATAATGACTTCAATAACACCTTCTAAAGTCTACCTCCTCTAGGTCACACTTAAATTATAAAGTTCACATAAATCAATGATAATTTATTTTTTCCTAACAAGATTGTCATTAGAATATCTCAAAGCAAGTGATCATCTTTCTCATCATTTTTTTTTTGTTGTTGTTGTTTTTGAAGCTGAGTCTAATGCACCCTAGACCTGCCTTCAGCTCACTATATAGTGGAGAATGACCTTGAGGTTCTAATCACCCTGACTCTATCTGCCAAGGGAATACGGCACCACACCCTGTTGATGTCACAATGGAGAGATCAACCCAGGGTTTCATGCTCACTATTAAAGCACTCTACCAACTGAGCTACAGCCTAGCTCAATTCTTTGCCACTTTGACCTTAAAAAAAAGGAAGATAAAAGAAAATCATCACATACTTGACAGCCAAAAGACAACCCAATATGCTTGAAAGGCACACATTTCGTAGGATTACTTTGTAGAACAGGAAGTGCCAAGCTATGCACACCAGCTGCCACCCTACCTACAGATGTCTCTGACACAGTAATAAAATGAGAAGCCATTTGGTTTAATAACAATAAAAAAGCAACATCCAGTCCTGGTTGCCTAGCAACCAGTCATGAATGAACTCCACAGAGAATAAAAGCCCTAAACGAACGTACAGTCTGTGCAAGTTTCAAGGACTCAAAGAGATTCAGTAGTTAATCTAAATTCTAGGTGACAATTACCATACTGAGATAGAAGGAGAATCTATCATGATTGCCCAGAATCAAGTATTCACTAGAGCTAAGAGTCAATCTCTTTCACTTATATTTTGAACTAGCAAAATGTTTGGGGGAAATTTATTTCTCAAATAAAAAATTTCATTCAGGAGAAAAAAGAAAGGATAAACAGCACAACTTCCACTTCACTCTGCAAAACACATAGTACCTACCTCCTGAGTGTGGGCTATCATCCTGGCTACTGGGCCATAGGAAGACAATAACAGCATCCAATTCTCTAACAGAGGTAGCCAGGGATAAAGAAACTACCTATCGGAAGGCATCTGGGCCAAACTAAGAAGGGAACTACATGACCAGAGAACATGACACCTGAACTAAAGAACAATCAATCATTCACCAGGTTACAGCTCTTACCAGCAGGACATCCAGAGCAGCACCAAGCTGTGGGGGGGACGGGGGACAGACATAGAAGAGCTAAAGCCAAGAACATAATCACCTCTGGAGGTGATGCAAACTGAATCAGAGCAGAGAAAGCATGAGTAACACTGCACAAGCTAGTGAAGTAAGAGATGCTTTGGAGAGAAAACCAAAAGATTTAGAAGGGTCAGAGAAGTGAGACTGGACAGCACACTCAAACCAGGTCTAGGTTTCTTGACCCATGAACACAGCTCTAGGACATGAAACAAATATGTACAAGATGCATTGCTTCTCGGCACCAGAAACACTAGTCTTAGTCACATCCCACACCTCTAACCCCCAGAATCAATTACATGAAAATTACTGACCCAGAGGGAGAAAAGGAAAGGAAAGGGGGCAGCAAAGAATGAAAACCAAAAAAATGCCAGAATGTAAACTTTCTCAGTGACAAAGGAGAGGGGAAAGCTTGAGAGAGAGATGGTTCAGTGGGTAAGAACAATGGCTACTTTTGCACAGGACCAGGGTTCGGTTCCCACACTGACACAGAGGCTCACAACCTTGGGTAACTCCAGTTCCAGGGGATCTGACACCCTCTCTGACCTCCTCACTCACTGCAGGAACATGGTGCAAAACACATAGAAATGCAAAATACTCATAAAACTACATATAACTAAAACTACAATAAATAAATCTTTAAAAACTTAAAAATTAGAAACCCTAAAGAGAAGCAATATTCGCGTTGACTATACAAGTGTTGTAAATGTAAGTAGGTTAAATAAAAATTTAGAGAAAACTGCTTGGATCAAATATAGCTGAGTTACAATCTTTTATACTTTAAGTACCTGAGATCAAATAAAGTCATGAGATGCTATCAATAATTGAGTAAAGAATACAGACTGTTAATCTCACCCTAAAACAGAAATGGATAATAAAATGTCTAAAAGCCATTCCTCATGAGAACTGAGGTGGCCATAGTAGCATTTTTATGACTGACTGAATTATCCTGCAACAGCTTCGTGGCTGATCTGCCTCGTTCAAGGTTAAAGCAGCCTGGATAGTCGTGTACAGTATAAGAATGTAAGCAGAATAACATTTTGTAAAGAAATACATATATTCTGAAATCTTCAAAGTAGTCCATACATTATGACAAAGTAATTCTGCTTCTAAAAGACTATTCTGATGAAATAACCTAAAATACAGATAAAGGCAAAGGTTTACATAAGGTGAAATGACTAAGCTGACACCATCTTGTCCTGACTTTATTTTGTGTCTGTCTGGATACCTCTCAGTCCTCTAACCCTCAACAGCCACATCCACCTTGGCAATACTTTTGGGAATGTCTGTGACCCTGACCATGGTTACATTAATATATTAATAGCTATATTAACCAAAATAAATGATGTGTATGCAAGCTTAAATATAAAACCAAAATAACTAAGATAATGCATAAATCAAAAATAATTGTCATGGAGTGTGTGGATAATATGGCTGAGCTTTGTAAGAAAATAGATGCTACTAGGCAACTCCAAAGCCCTCATTGCTGTGACCCCACCTTGAGTACTAATGTATTGTGGGGTTTGTCTTTAAAAACACTGTACCCCTGAGCTTGGGCACCAAGAGACATTTTGGAGGCATAACTCCACTCTTAGTTTGGCCATTAATAGGACTCATATACTTTTAATTGGCTTAACCAGTATGGTGTCATTAACTATCTCATGTGGATCATTTCAATGACATTACTGCAGGCAAAAAGAACTAGAGATGGCCTAAATATCTTCAATATCAATAGTGATAAATATACTATAATACAACTGTAAAAGAAAACTTTAATGCAATCACTAAGAATGATGTTTTTAGAATGACTTCAATAAAGTGACAAGTCTCATGTCTGGTAAATGAGAAGAAGTAAATTCAATAAAGCCATTGTTTCAATACTGCATTTTTAAAGAGCATAAAAGGAAGAAATATTATTTGTGAATAGTAATAACAGACTTTTTCCTTTGCCTATAGTTTGTTTGTTTTATAAATATTGAAGTTATGTTATTTTTATATTTAGAAAGAAACCTCATCCATTCATCAATTCCAAATAAAAGTATACCTTAGCTTTGTGCTTAAGTAAAAAGCACATTAATTTTATATTTTTCCGTTAAGTTGGTCACCTGTACTCAGCTTGATTTAAATGTAACAAATAGTTTATACATTTTTGTTGAATGAAACAAACTTGCTCAGCATTCTAGAACCAAGGATAGCAAGTATTCAAGTTGATTAACAGAATTCAAGCAAATAAGGAACTGTAACTGGTTTAGCACTGACAAGACTGTTACCTGAGGTGGTTGAGCAGAGGCTGGAGCCGTTCATCGGACTGCACAGCAGGCAAGGACCTGGCTGTTAGCTGAAACAGAGAAAAGGGTCAGAAATGCGGCAAGGGCGGGCTGCACTGTAAGCAAAGGGGAGCTGGGTGAAAATCAAGCGGTCACAAACATGGGGGCGGGGGCACTTCTGTCCTTAAAATCAAGGGATTAGTCATTCATCGGGATTAAATAACTACATGTCTCCAGCACTCAGGAGGTGGAGGCAGGTGATGGAGGGCTCAAGGCCAGCCTTTACTACCCAGAGAGAGCCTGTCTTAGAAACTACAACGTCTTGAGGACACAGAATACGTTATTGAGCTTTGCATGAAGAGAAAGCCAAGGGCCCTGTCTGAGTCTGTGCAAAAGCCTCTACTCACAAGCACATTATCTCTGTAAATAAACTGGAAAAAGTTCTAAACATTAAAATGTATAAAACCTAATTTTACAGTATGATTCTAAGATAATGATGCCATTAGGGAGGGGGACTTTCACTTACGGCTAAGCAATCATGAAAGTGGAATACACACAAACTCTCCCTCATAATTTCCTTAATTTTAACAACCAACTACATCTTCTAAGACTCAAAACCAACTAAAAGTATTTAATACTAAAATGTGACCTCAAATTAATCTAGGAGACCAAAACTGAAAGGCAAACTCTACTAAAAGGAACTCATCTGACAATTCACAGAAGGGAATCTTAGGAAAAGTAGTGGACTAAAGACATCCTTTGGTACTATGTAGAGTATCCTCACTCTACTGTTTTCATATAAGAGTTCTTGAAAACAGAAAACAATTTATCAAACCAACTTCTTATACTGTATGAATAACAGCTATAATTGAAAATATTAAAATATTCTAATGTAAGTTTTAGAGTTGGGCTGTAACTCAATGGCAGAATAAGTCCAAAAAAGAAAAGAAAAGACCAAAACACTGTATGAAAATATTTAACTAAACAATGTCTAATAATGAACAGCAAGCATTCTGAGTTTCACATAAGTCAACAATCAACAGTTATTAAATTAAAATACAATACTGTGACACAATAATATGCTACAATTTTAGCACAAAAAGATTTTTAGTATTCATGAAAAAATGTTGCCTAGTATGTCATCACCAGAAAAGTTATCAAACTTTATAAGCAAACCTTTAGCACATCCTATCATGGAATCTTTAATGTCAAATCCCTCTACAAAATACCACTTTCATTGTTAAAGAGATGTCATGTCTCAGATCCTAAGCTATTCTCTAAAAATGATATTTTAAAAGCCAATTTTCTAAGAACAAAGCAGACAGGCTGGACTTTCCCAAGCACTTGTCAATTTCCATAGCATGCTTCCTAATTAAACCATCTTTTTTAAAGGAAAACAGACAGACACCTCTCCGCCACACCACATTTCCTAGACAGCTGTTCACGCCAAATGAGGGAATTCCTTAAATAGTCCTTCATCTCAATTCCATCCTCCACTTGCTTTTCCCTGAACTATTAATGCATTCCATTCACTACTGTATCTGCCTCCCATTTTGCTTTTCTTCTAATTTATCCCATACTAAAAGACTGAGGTTTTTAAATTAAGAGTTAATTTCCTCTCTAACTAAAATCTGCCAAGAATTCTCTTAGGCTTTCAGGTTAAAGTTATTGCAATGATCTCACACTCGAAATTTTACAAAATTTTCATCTTGGGGCCACAGTAGTGAAACACTCAACCAAAAGTGAGAGACCAACTCCAGTTCCAACCTGCTACACAAGATACACAAAAGAGTCCCAGGTAGGAAGTTGTCACAGCTAGGTGTCTAGAATAGAGCAATTCGATTTTGAGCTTCTCTACCAGGAACTTAATTAACTGTCATGGCGAAGCTGGGCCGTCAACTTGAGCAATCTGGGAAGAAGGAACCTCAGCTGAAGAACTCTCTCCATCCAACAGACCTATGGGCATGCCTGAGGGGCATTTTCTTGATTGCTACTGTGGCGCTGGTAGTATAAGAAAGGTAGCACAACATAACATGAGCCAGAGGGAGCAAGCCAGTAAGCAGATTCTTCCACCGCCTCTGCTCCAGTTTCTGCCTCTGGGTTCCTGTTTTGAGTTTCTGCTCTGATTGACTGTAAGTTATAATATGAAATAAACCTTTTCCTCCCCAAGTTGCTTTTGGCCATGCAGTAACAGAAAGCAAACTTGGACAAATATCAAAATGTTTTCCAAAGGCTATCCTTTGCAACTTGTAAAACATTTAGCATTTTCAAAAACAGTGCGTGGTTTTGGGTTAAGGAGGGGTGATAATGAACCTACCCCCAAACTGGTGGTAGACCCATGCACTGACTTCAAGTGACTACTGCAGCTGTCATTAAGGGGCTGCCAGCTTCAGAGACGCTCTTCAAACTTCTAAAGCACTATATTGGCTTCTTTCCTCCATCCCACCATGAGGCTGCCACAGCCCTAGCAATAATAACTAACAGATGTGTAACAGAGCTAGCTACAGAATGGTGACAGGATCATGCAACTCACTCTATTAACTGATGAAAAAGAAAAGTATATCTCTATCTGCTCTTGATAGGTAAAGGCTTTCAAATCCCTGCTTTCATGAAAATCAAATCTAAATCAAAACTAAATGACAATGATCAGCCCTCCCAGAAGGCAATATCCTATCAGACCAAGATGTTTATTAGACAGTTTAAACATTTTCTCTACAAGTTAAAGTGAATAGCAAGCTAATAAATTTTATTTATAAATTTGGTGGGGTTTTTTTTTATAGAAAACACAAAAATATGCTCTGTATGAATCCCAAAATTATGCCTACTTCAAAGGATTCATTGTTGGGGGATATCTGATCACACTGTGATCCCCAAGTTAGCATTTGAGTTAATTCAATAAAATTAACCTTGGGTCAGAAGGCTGAGAGGGCAACTAGCTGACAGAAAGTAATCAGAGACCATCAGAGGGCACCTGGAAGAGACAGAGAGACGACCCGGAAGTAGTAGGGAGGAGTTTGGGATGGTGAAGCTTTTTGTGGTTTGGCAAGCATGACAAGGGACTGATTTTCCTCCCCTTTGGCTTTTTTGCGACAGGGTCTCCATATAAAGCCCTGGGTGGCTTAAAACTTGCTCTATAGATCAGACTGGTCTCAAACTTGAGACAACCCTCCTGGCTTCATCTCCAGAATGCTAATATTACAGGAATGCGCCATTACAACTGGACTCAGTGATGCTTAGATAAATTTTGTTTTAAAAGACTGATACTGCTGAGAGAGGGCTCAGCAGTTGCACATACTGCTTGCTCCTCAAAGGATATGAGTCTGGTTCCTGGCACCCACAACAGGACAATTACCTGTAACTTCAGTTCCAGGAGCTCACGTATCTTTAGCCTCCATGGGCACCTGCACTCACATGCATATACCCACAAACAGACACATAATTTTAAAAATAATAAAAATGAAATTTTTAAAGATTGGTATTATTGAGCAAATCTCTCATAGAGCCATGTGAACACCCAAGATGTGGACACACAACACAAAACACTCTTCTCTGCCACACCATCCATCTTGACCCATCCCCACATGGCCAGTAGTTCAGAAAGTCTGCCCTAGGCAATGATCCTGTTGGCCTTGTACTCTAACTTCATTAGTAAATGTAACTTACTACTCAGAGGGTCATATACATTTCCCCTTCCATTTCTAGCTCAATAGAACATCTAAAGTCCTTCTTTAAATACAGCAAGTGCTCCATAGATGGAGGCGCTGGCTAGTCTTATGTTAACTTGACACACAAACTAGAATTATCTGAAAGGAGGGAAACTTGAGAAAATGCCTCCTTAAGATCTGGATGTAAAAGCCGGGCGGTGGTGGCGCACGCCTTTAATCCCAGCACTCGGAAGGCAGAGCCAGGCGGATCTCTGTGAGTTCGAGGCCAGCCTGGGCTACCAAGTGAGTCCCAGGAAAGGCGCAAAGCTACACAGAGAAACCCTGTCTCGAAAAACCAAAAAAAAAAAAAAAAAGATCTGGCTGTAAGATCTGGCATTTTCTTAATTAGTGAATGGCCCAGCCCATTGTGGGTGTTGCCATACCTGGGCTGGTGGTCTGGGTTTTATAAAAAAGCAGGCTGCACAAGTCATGGGAAGCAATTCAGTAAGCGTTCCATGGCCTCTGCATCAGCTCCTGCCTCCAGACTCCTGCCCTGTTTGAGTTCCTGTCCTGACTCCCTGTGATGATGAACAGCAATATGGAAGTGTAAGCCAAATAAACCCTTCCTTCCCAACTTCCTTTTTGGTTTGGTCACAGTGTTTCAATCACAGCAATAGAAACCCTAGCTAAGACAAAGGAACTGTGGCTTTCAGGTTCAAAACTCAAATTATGGGTGTAGTGTAAACTCATAAAACCTCAGTATGAGCCGGGCAGTGGTGGCGCACGCCTTTAATCCCAGCACTCGGGAGGCAGAGCCAGGCGGATCTCTGTGAGTTCGAGGCCAGCCTGGTCTCCAAAGCGAGTTCCAGGAAAGGCGCAAAGCTACACAGAGAAACCCTGTCTCGAAAAAAAAAACCAAAAAAAAAAAAAAAAAAAAAAAAAACAAAAAAACCTCAGTATGTGTTTATCTAAGTGCACAGAAATGTAAAATACATCATACACTATGGAGAAACTACCATAGTTCTTTCCTTTTACTTCCTGGTTTGGACTGAGGGGGATTTTGGTCACTAGATAATTGCTACAGATAAAAGAGAACTATCAAGTGAAGAAATTTTTTTTAGACATTATTAAAAGTGTAAAGTCTTTCTCAATGAATAAAAACAATTTTTAAAAAAAAACAAAAACCTGGGTATGGTTCGGAGGTTAGAGCAGTTGCTGTTCCTCCGGAGGACCTGAGTTTATTTCCTAGAACCTAAATCCGGTCGCTCACAACCACCCATAACTCCAACTCCAGGGAATCCAATGCCCTCTCCCCACCCTCTTAGGCACCTGAACTCAAGTGTGTATGCCCTGCCCACTGACACACCCATGTACATCTAAGTTTAGAAAATAAAATGAGAAGGCTGAGACAACTTGAAGGCATGTCA